AGCCCAGTTTTGATCTCAGTGGCACACGAAGGAGGTTTGGGTTTTTGAAGATCTTGTCGCCTTTTGAACGACCGTTTCGGTGGGGTCGACCCCCGCCCCCCCCCATTGGTGCCAAGAAGAAACACATCTTTGCGGCTGGTAGAGATGGTCAATTTAAGGACTGCAGGCAATGATGAGGATTCCATTTTTCATGGAACCATGGCAGACAGAAGGAGTCTTGATGGCACATTGTGCTTGTTCGGTGCCACTGAAACCAAAATGAGTACGTCTCAACATGAGGTCGACCACCCTCCTTGGATGATTTGGAAGAGGCCAACCACACAGGAACAACGGTTACGAGCATCAGAACATACCCCTTCGTACAGCTATAGCCACCAGTTCTTTACATGGAGTGCCAGGGGACAGGCCGAGATTGCCTATCAGGGGCCCTAAAAGAAGACTCACAACCCCAATGAGGGTGTCGTCCCCGATGGCCAGTTTTCCTCTTGGTTCTTGAGAAGCCCAGCAAAGGGTACGGGCAAGGTCCGAAAAAGACAGAAGGCGTGCGAGGTCACATCTGGGAGGTCGCTTGAGGAATCCCGCCCCAAGTTTGCGGTCCTTTGTCAAAACCATCAACCATTGAAACCCAAGGGAAACCAAAGGGACCTCTGGAGGTCGCTTGAGGTCGCTTGAGGCCAACGCTCGCAGGATGCAGACAGCCCGCCCGAGAACCTGGACCGCTCCGAGATCGAGGCGCGCGCATCGACTGCCATCGAGCCCACCGCGCAGCGACAGCTTCCTTCCATTTGCTTAAGAATATGTGTTATTTTCCCCTGTCAGTTTTTTTTTTTTGCCCCCGGGAATCCATGACTACTGGACATATTTATGTGTTTTTTTTTCCAGGGGGCGAAAACGCAAAATTGGAAGCTTCCAGACTCCGCGAGTGGGATGTCTGACGGCAAAAACGGGTGCTTCACATCTCTTGGGTTGGACGGTTGGACCACCCCAGACTAGCATGGAAGCCCCCAGAAGGCTATGAGTTTCAAGGGACCCTCTGGACATCGTTGTGGGGATTCATGGAATCACTTTCTAGGTGGAATTAAAATTTCATAGCCAGAAGGCCGTAAATGGATCCAAGTCTTCGGAGTTTTGGGAGCTTCCATGTTCGTCTGGAGGGCAAGGTTCAAAGCTGAAGCGGAAACCAAGGGGCCTCGACACAAAGGCAACAGAGAAAACGCCCAGATGGGGGTTGATCAATATTTTCGTTCGGCCCCCAAATGACCATGGGGTAACCTTCCCATTTTGTGGGACATATGAGCCTTTGTCTTGACTGCGCTTAGGTGCATTTCGCCAAAGGATGTTAGGACTTCCACTTTTGCAAATGGTTTTTTCCATTAAACCACTAGAAGTGAGTCACTTGTAGCAGGGGATCAGAAAGCAACCGAGTGCTATTGGGTTGGATGATTTAAACTTTTGCCGGGAGATCTACAGCACCCCAGACATGGACTATCCACCAACCGAAGCCCATTTGACCTGGGTGTGTAGGTATTTAGTGAACTTCCCTGGAGAACTTGGAGACGGTTTCTTGGTATCTTGGGTGGCTCAAAACAAAAACTTGGGCCAACCGCAGGTATCAGTCTTGCATCCATATACCAACTTGCCATCTCGGGTACCATGTTTTGAGCCATGTTTCATACCCATGGGGAACCGGGCACCGTGTTCTAGGTTTTTGTAAAACGATTTCACTTGCAAACCGTTCTCAGATGTACACAACTGTTGTGCCATCGTTTCAGCCCACTCCAATTCTTAGACCCTCGCGTTCACAGATATCCTCACATGAGTTGTTGCGTGCTCGATTCCGTTTGTTCCTTACTTGGTGTTTCTCAGCCATCTCCTTTTTTTTCTAGGTTTTTAACTAAGTCGATATTTAGTTGGGGATTCCATGCGAACAGCCCAGCTTGGCTTAGGCTCTTCATCCTTAGGGGCTTGGTAGGGCTGATTCCTTCGGTCAGATCCCAAAGATCTGGGCACCGCCCAGTTTGCCACAAAAGGAATTCATCCAACAGCAACCTTTGGTTTTGAGTTGTTTTTTTCTTCTCTGACTCCAAAAACCTTGGGGGCAAACAACCAGCCCCGTGCTTTTGTTTCTTTTTTGCCAAAAAGCTTGGGGTTCACGCACTCGCACCCCTTGGTTTTCTGGTCCTCCCGCCACAAATTCCCCCCCATTCCCGCCCGTTTTTGGGTGAGAACGAGGCCTCCATAAGTGGGGTGCGGGGAAAAACTCGTTGGTGTTCCGCGAGGAGCTGGCGGATCTCTACGCCATGCGGGCGCAGGCCAAAGTGGCCCTCGGCGACCTCGAGGGCACCATCGAGGACGCGCGCGGTTCGGTGCGCGCGGTCGTCTGCGCACGGGAGCTCGGTTGGCGGTCGGTTCGCGTGCGCGTGTGAAGTGCTTGAGGGTTGGCTGGTGGGTGGGTGGGTGGGTGGGCGGGCGGGCTGGTGGGTGGGTGTGTGTGTGTTGTGTGTTGTGTGTTGTGTTTGTGTCTGTGTTTGTGTGTGTGAGTGTCGTTTTTCGGGGATCCAGACTAATTACTCGACTTTTCGGGTTGCTTGAAAGGGAACCAACAGGAGAACCACCATTTTGGGGTCCGCCTGTTTTGGCACGCACCCTGTCGATTTCCCTGGTACCTTAAAAAGTTTAGCCTCAAAGCATCATGCCCTTCTTTTGGGTTGTTTGAATGCAAGGGAAACGACAAGTCTGGCGACGGAAGTCACAACTCGTGCCGGCCCGGTCAGGCGGGGGGGGGGCGGTGGTGAGTGTGTTTCGAGCGAACCTTCCTGATGTTCAAAGCGCGCGTGCCCTTTTACTTTTTTGTTTTCTTCTCGGAGGGTTCCCCTACTAAAATAGACTACAGATAAGCTCGGGTGATATCCCCAACAGCATGAGTTGCACTTTTTAGTGCTCGCACCTTGCCGTGCAGTCCTCGCAGAATCTCGCGGAACACTGGTGGAACCCAACCCGGGTGGAACCCTCGTGGAACCTTACCTCAGGGCCGCCCCGGACCACCCTGGAGCCTATCTGGGCTGAGACCCCAAAGCTTTCAGCTGTTGGGGAAAAACAGGGTACCCTTATTCTAACCTGTCTACTGGAGAACCTAGTACTGGTAGTTACTTCCTTATTTTTCAGCCGTTTGTTTTGTTGGGGGGGGGATGCCGAGTTTTACTTTGTCTCTCTGACTTCCCACGTTTTCGTGGGGAGTCTGCTCTTCGGTAGAACGGCACTTTGCCAGTTGTCGTTTTTTCCAAGAAATCAACGTCCCTCGCCTTCCCTTAAGCGTTCAATCCCAAGCGCTGTGGCTCTGTTTCAAGCGGAGCGGACAACTCGAACTCGCACATGATCTCGATAGGCCAAACAGTGATTTACAAGGAAAACGACGACTTGCAAGGTGCGGTTCTACCAAGACCAGCTATGACAAAACTCGGCGGATCTCAAAAGGAAGCCAGCCAAGGGCAATCGCGGGCAACCAGGCGTTGCCGTTTTGGCAGGATTGCTCCGCCGCGCTGAAGCTCAACGACAAGGCCGCGCGTTCCGATTTGTTCGACCCGGCCGAAACGCAAAGACACGCTCGTTGTCCCAGTTTTCCTTTCTCCATTTGGCTGTGCCTGGCTGTGGCTCAAAAAACCGGAATTCCAAAATGGGTTGCCCTGGTAAGTGGAAACATGGACCAAAACCTGCGGTTTGCCCTGGCTTTTCAATTTTGAGCCACACCCATTGGCTTAAGCTGTGTTCTTTTCGCAAGAAAGTACCCTAGTATAGAAAGCACCAAGAGCGAGGCCGATGCCAGGGGAGACACGGCGATTTTTCTCATGATTCGCTCCTAATCTTCCACCTGAATCGGATGGTTTTTATTTTGCGGGTGGTCTTTAAAGGGAGCCTCTCACTACAGGCCATACTAAAAGTTGTCTTCCTCGAGACTTCAGCAATTGGAGTGTCGCTTTACAATCGACTACCAACAACGATTCAGGGTGCCCTTGTTTTTATTCACGTGGATTGGGAAGAGGGCTGTCTATGGATTTTATTCCGGTGGAATTTGTGTGGTCACATGCCATCTATCTTGGTTTCTGCAGGATTTCCGATGCTTGCTTATTTAGGGAACATGGGAATGATCCCTCCAAGCATTCCCCAAGTGGGTCATGCCTACGGTTTCCCCTCAGAACAAACACGGCTGGGACTTGGAGCCTCGAAGAACTGGTTTCTGGCGGAAACAAAAGCTGAGGTTTGAGAGTGGCTTGGTTTGCTGCAAGTAGCAAAGAGTCAGCCCTTGGCAGTCCATGGTCAGTGGGAGATCCTCTTTTGATAGAGCGTTACCTTCATGTGGGTTGTTCTTCGGCTTCTTAGGATTCAAACAGCTCACTGCTTGTTTTGCAAAACTTGCTGGTTTGATAGGCAGGGAATGAGAAATGGAATGACCCCAAAACATTCCCTTTTGGTTTCCTTTCGGGGAATCCCCAAAACCGGTTCATTCCCAAAACCCGGTCTCGGTCATTCCCTACCTATCGCACCAGCAAGTCGTTTTGCCAGGAAACGATCAGCAGCAGTCTCCACCAGTTGAGCAGTTGGCGGTGGCGTTGTTTCTGTGAGATCTTCGACGAGCGTTTGGCTGTCTTTACTTGTTTTTTCTGGTTGGCCGTTGATGGGTTGTGGTTGATGACTGGGGTATTGGTTCAATTAGGGTTTATCTTTAACTTGTTGGTGATCTGAGCCAGGGTGCTGGGAATGACCCTAAGGATTCCCGTAAAGGAAGCCATACGCGATGGGTTATAGGGGTCATTCCCTGCTGAGAATCCGGGGAACAAAACAGCAAGCGGTCGCCTTCGCACCTCACAAGCTGTCTGGTACTTATCCTGAGATTTGACAAGGGCTTGAACGCAATTCACCTCATCCGCACACAAGCTATGCCAACCATAAGCAACGGGTGTCTGACTTTTTGCAACACGGCAAGCACGCAACACGCACAGCAG